TAAGTTTGTGTTGACTACTGCGAGGCGTGCCCTTACCGCGCGAAGAGCACACAAATTACGCGCTACTTGTGTAGATACTTAGTGAGTACAGATGGTCACGAACAGAAATATTCTAGTGAGGTGCCTGGTATACTTCAAAAAGGCACTCCATAGGAAAAGTCGAATTAGTGAGTGTAAAAATACCGGCGTTTGAAGAAAAATAGAGTGTCACATATGACAAGAATAGTGCATAGTTGATTTGGCTTCTACGTGGACGTGTACGGTATTCATAAAAGCTCAAAAGCCAAGAAAACGTTTATTTGATACATATGTTAGTAGAATAAAACTTCGAGATGACTCTAGAGACATGTTGAACCATAACATCTAAAAACCGGTAACATCGACTACAACTCAAAAATCTATGTATGACCCGCTGAAAAGCTTTAAAAAGTGTGCGAAAGGCAGAGATCAGCCTGGAACGAGGTAGCAAGGCAAGGACTAAGAGGAATCTGAAGGGAAGTTATTCACTCATGTTGTTGTTTACATTCTCAACTTTCACTTTGCTCTGCTGCAGCTGTTCTATTTCCAGCTCCAGTTTCTTCATCTTCAGCTGATAATACTTTGTCATCGCTTCTTCCTGAAGAGCTATACATCATGTCAAAAGATTAGAACAAAGGATAGCGCTTACTCTCGCAATTTGTGCTTCGTAAGCTCTTTTCTGCAAAAACCTCACGTCGCGACAATTATCCTTTGAGGAGGCTGGAGCCGACGGTGATGGCGTGGTTGTGATTGCTGCAAAAAGCGGAGGGTAAATTATTTTTCGAAAACTCAGGAAATCACAGTTTCGCCTACATTTGTGCAAAGGGGCCACACATTTTGGAGGATCTGATGACGGTCTGCGTTCAATGGATATTGGTGAATGGAGTGCCCCAACGTGATTGTCTTCTTTCGGAATCGGTGGGAACGTCGTTACAGAGCGAAGATACTGGATTAAATCATCATATTTCAATGGCAAGTAACAATTAATATTTTATTCTTACATCTCCGATCGTAGTCACGTGCTCAGTCCGTTTCACATCATTTTCTACGTTGTTGTCTACAAAAAACCACTTAAAAGGAGTTACTACTCAATGACATAAAAATGTAATATTTGATTTCATTACAGTATTCTTCCAGATACTGGAACATTTAAAGGTTTTTTGTGGTTTTTAAATTTTACAACAAGAACAAAAAGAAATACATGAATTTACTATCTGTATTATGGGAGAGATTGTGCGCCAGAGCTCGGCTCGAAAATGCAAAAAACAAAGTCATACTTGACTTCTGCAAAATTCGAAGTCCCCTTCGACCGTAAACACTAAACTTGAAAAAAATCCCGGAAAAACGAAAAATCGAAAAAAAAACGTCGCCAATTTTTGAGTCTTTTCATTTTCAAAAACGAAGAGATGACAGCCAAAAACTGCTAAACTGATAACTAGTGAGGTTTTCGATTTTGTTAGAGCTATTTTCTACCTATATATAGTCACACACTGAGACTTCAAAAGACTGAAGTTTTCGAAAGATATGTACATATTCTAACAACTGCTGCGACCTATTTCTTCCATTTAATTGATAGTTTCGCAAGAAATAACAAGGGATTTCTGAATAAAGGTGAGACCACATCGTAAATGTGTACAGCTAAATGCGGACCAACAAATCTCAGACCTGGTTACTATTAGGTTGATGCATAATTCTTGAAACAAAATTTCGAAATTTTACTTCCTCCAAGTCTGATTTAATACCGCTTTCTGCAGGTGCTCAAACTGAAATCCCTTGAGGGCATATGGCAACGACATGAGTTGATCAAGATATCCAAAAACTGACACTGCGGTTTTTGGTCACAATGCTAAAATGTCCACCAATATTCTTCATTTTTGTTCTTGGTTTTATCACATACTCTTTTTGACTAAGAATTGGTGTCTCTGCAAATACTTACGAATTTCATTTTCTAAAACTGACTTATTAATTTTGTTTCATATTTGATTAGAACTATAGGATACCACTATACTTAGCAACTGAATTCCAGAAAAGTTCTTCGAACAAAAGGGAACTTCAAGCATATTGAAAAGCTAGGTTCTAAAGAATGCTTACTTCTTTGGCGATTCTTTCCAAATCCTAAGGCAGCCATAAGGTCGTGATCTATCGGACCATCATCTTCTACACGCTGACGCTTTGAATATCGGTGCTCCTAAATTCGATATCAAAGTATGATGAAGGGTATGTGATGAAAGTCTCTGCGAGAGAAAAAACAAGTCACTTCAGTAGGAGCTTAACGCTATCAAAAAATTCAACTAGTTCGCGTGAAGTTCGGAAGTCATAGACCAGACCTCTAATAATCAAAGCTGACCTGCTCAATTGGTGGAATCTGCAGTTTTCTAGCAGCATTTTGGTTCTTCGAGAACAAGTCGATCAGCAAACCACTGTCAGGCTTCTTGTCTTCTGTAATCAATTGCAATTATTTTCATCAATAACCTAAAGTGCAAAAGTGTGCGATAATCGAAAAATTCATACGCTATAAAATTATGCTCAATCTAAAAATAAGTCAGGCTATGGGCTTGTGTTCAAAAGCCTCGAATCGAAGCGTTTTTTCATACCCATTACTTGTTATGGCTGAACCTACCAAGCCGGATTACTGGACATATTTAGGATCGCAGATTCTGAGTGTCTAGCAGAATCTCTCCGTTTCCCCCTGGAGAGGAGTGAAATTGCGTAACAGCAGCGAAAAAGATTAAGACTCCTAGGATTGCCCCTATAGTGAATGGATAGGCAAAAATGTAAATACTAGGACTTTCTCAGACAATTCACCAGAACTTTTGCAAGACAAACAAAAATTGCAGCGGTTCCGCAGGATTTTGTTTAATATTACAAGCCTGGAAACGTTGGGAATGGAAACTTCCGCAGGATTTTCACGCTAGACTGGCTGAAAACGGAAACTTTTACAAAACGCTGCCGAAATTTCGAAAAATGCCAGAGGTTCCGCAGCACTTTGACTTACCACCACTTCCGCGGGGTTTTGAATGTGTCGTATCTTATAATGTTGTTTCGCCAACATCTACAGTGCGTGGTCGAACGTGTCATCCTTAGTGCAGAAAATAGCGAGTGAGTCTCGCAGTCGATAGAGTAAGATTCAAATCGGGCTTAGGTGTTCTCTTTTGTTGTTGGTTTGGATTTTTCGGAACTTCCGCAGCAACTCACTTGGGAACTTCCGCAGCTCGTTTATGGAACCTGCACAGCTGACCTGGCGGAACCTTCGCAAACGTTCTGCGGAAGTTCCGGTCAG